AATAAAAATAAATTAATTAAAGAAATTATATAAAAAATAGAACTTTTAAATAGTTGATTTGATATTAACATTGATATATATTTTTTCAAATTTTTTATGATTTTTTCTAAATTTATTTATATTCAAAAATAAAATCATTATTACTTTCTTAAAAGCACATAAAATAAAATCGTATTATAACATCGACAGAGACGAATAATAAAAAAATTATTAAAATCGAAATGTGTTTTATTGTATTGCACGAGTACCCTTATAATATAGTATTAATATAGACATGACGAAGATGTGAAGTTGAGTAAAATGGAGGGATATTTTTATACTTACAAAGTTATATATAAATTTGAAGCCTCCCCCTTTTAAACCACTTTCGATAGTATGGGCTTGTGTTCTTCTCCACTGGTAATGAAGGGACAGTGTGTTGTGAATTAGGTTTGATAATTTTCTAGATCGTGTTATGTTTTGGGTTTATACGAAATCAGTACCGGAATAATTTAGAAAAATCATATGCAAAATAAGACACTGATTTTGTATATATACTACTTAGATCATGAAATTATGTACTTAAAAGAGAGATCGACGGTTAAACAATTGTAACCGTCAATGGATAAGGTCAAAAGGTACTAAGGTAGTTACAAGCGAATCTTAAATTCAAAAAAAATACATCTTCAGCGACAGGCATAATCAATACCTTCAGCCCCTTGGAACCCCCACTATATGACGATCTAAGGTGATAAAGACAACATTTGTAAGTTCCTAATTCATCGCCTCAATTGATCTCAAATAAATCACAATTACATTAAAACGGTTTATAAATGAAATGATTTATATATCAACTCTCAATGTTGTTACAAGGACATGGGGAAATTACATTTAAGAAAGCACAAATGCAAAGGGATAAATACATGCTCTTTTCCCTTCTATCCAACTTCATTAATTTTTCTACCCTTCTTTTTTTAAGATAAACTTCTCTGTCGTCTCATTCTTGTACACCAGTAAGATGAATCCACGTCATCATAGAGAGAACGTGGACTTGAATTAAATAAATCTGAAATATATAAATCAGATGTTCTTAATTTCATTGGTGGGACAGGGATGTGACGTTTCCATCCATTGTTTCCGGAAACGGAAACGGAGACGAAAAGAGATACAACAAGCTTACGATGGTTTAGTTAAGAGATACCGACGGTCTTTCCGAGCAACCACAACACCAATGACATCTCTATCATCACTATAGTGTGCAACGAAGTCCTATCCAGCATAAACCCGTACACCGTTATCCCCGCGCTATTGTTCTCAAAATACGTTACTACAACAAAAACATACGATTCACGTTGATTAACTTCGATCAAGATTCAAGAATGTTTTGTTATTATATATGTGATCATGAATTGGAGCTTGTTAGACTTACCCAAGGCTTGCCTTTTCTGGAATGAGATGGTACTATAAGCGTACGCGGGTATCAGTTTAGTGTTATCCAGATCGTCTTCACTACCAACATCCTCATTGTCCGATGATGATCCATCACCACTGAACACTTGGTTTCCTGCAACACCCACAGGTGGGGTTTCCGTGTCTACATCCGGTGGATCAAATGACTCGATGGTTGCACACACATGCCACTTAGTCGCCAGGCACGTGACGCCTTGCGCCTTATGGGTGATCCTGGTGGCACTCCTCAATAGTATCATGAGCCCAGCTAGTAGGCTTACAGAAACAAGCTACACATAACACACACAACATAAAGTTAGACCCAATCATGAACCTATATGTTGGTCCTGGGTCATTTGTAGGGTGTTCCTCGATTTTTCATTTTTTTACGGTTTTCCGATGAACCTCCCTCTATTGAGACTATATATATGAGAATATGTGGAACCCCTTAGGTTACTCTTCAAAAGAGCATTTGAGAAAAGAAGGGGGTTCCAACATATATTAAAGAGAAACTGTCCAAGTCTATGAGAATATGTGAAACCCTTAAATTAATCTCCAAAAGTGTCCTTGAGGGGGAGAAGGAAGGTTCCAACATATATGGACGAGAAATAGTCCATGTCTAGTCGATGTGGGACTCTAACATTCCCCCTCCAAGGGAGGTTTGACGGGAAATTGACCAAAATAGCCAATCTCCCCAACCAACTTCACTTTTTAGCCAGTTTTTCAATTGAATTCCAATTTTAGCCAAAGTTTTACACAAATGTATTTTCAGATTAAAAAGAAGAAAAAAGATTTTTCTGCGTAAAGATTCAACTTTTTGCATAAAGGATCCTTACACATATGCATAAGGATTTTTTTTATTCCAGAAATCTATGCAGTTGCGTAAAGACCAACTATTTTTGGAAGAGGCTCTGAAAAGTGGCTAAAAAGTCAAATTGGTTGATGGGATTGGCTATTTCAGTATATTTCCCAGATTTGACGGGCACAGATTGTCCCGGAGTGTCGAGAGGGGGCTAGACGAGTACATATTGTCTTGTGTGTCGAGTCCCTAAAGTAGTAGACCTTGACTCTGATACCATGTGTGAATATGTGAAACCCAAATTAATCTCCAAAAGAGCCCTTGAGGGGAGAAGGGAGGTTCCAACATATTTCTAGCCGATGTGGGACTCTAACAAAGTCTAGCAATGTACTGTGTGAGAATATGTGGAACCCCATTAAATTACTCTCTAAAAGAGTCCTTGAGGAGAGAATGGGGTTCCAACAGATATTGAAAAGAAAGGGTCCAAGTCTAGCCGACGTGGCATCCTAACAAAATACATGAACTAGTCAATAGCCATAGTGTACTCATTCACTTACTGCAAGTTCACCGGTTTTGAAGATGCTGAGATCTGCTTTCGAGCGGGTAGTGTTAAGAAGTGATGCAAACTGACTCACTGTCACAAGGATGAGAGCCCAAAGTATAAAGATACGGTATCGGTGACTTATGATGCGTAGATGCCTTCTGATTCTAAGGTGTTCCCTCAATACAAATTCGACATCAGAGTCAACATGGAACACCTGAGCGAAATCTTGGAGACGGAGGATTTGGAGATGGCAGATAAGGCGGAACAGGACACAAACCAGGAAGAAGACCACAGTTCTATAGAGCCAGGAGCAGAGTTCCAAGATGCAGGCTACTGCATCACTCACAATAACATTACCCAAAAATGGAATGCGGGTGGCACCCGAACTGTACCACCAGATCTTATACGCGGCTTCAGCAGCAAAACATGGTGCCACAAATATGAAGACCATTTTAAGCGAGCTCTACGTGTTTGCAAATAAAGAGTAAATGTCATAGAGAGCATCATAGAATAAGGGAGATCCCTCTCATTTCATGTAATAAACCATCATCATGTGTCAAAAATTTTGAAAGTAGCCACAGTTATATAAGACCATCTCCAACCCAGAACTCTAAAGCATCTCCAATGCAAGGTCCTTATAAGCAAAAAATGAAATGGCTTGTAGGAACTACCATTGCCAAGAGTTCTTATAAGAACCTCACCCCCTTTGAGTTCTTGTACAAGAACCTTGGTTCTTACCATAAAGTTTATGTGGACCGACAATTTCCTAGTTTTTTTTTATATATTTTTTTTACTTTACTACCATTGTGGACGTTTATGTGAGATCTTAGTTTAATGAGTTGGAAGTGAGGTGACAACAAAAAATGTAAAAATGAGGTTCTTATAAGATTGTCCATTGAAGATGCTCTAAAAACATTAAGAATGTGGGCCCATACCCGCTAAAACACAAAAATCTTTCAGCCACACTAAAATATAAAACTCTAAATGCCACTACACCTATAAATACAGAGGTCTCCAATTTACACATAAACCAAAGTTTTACTTCAAGAAACTGGCTATGGAAGATGCACCTCTATCTACAATAATGATAAGAAGTAAGAAAAGTAAAAGTATCACTTCAAGAAACTGGCTATGGAAGATGCAAATCTATATACAATAATGATAAAAAGTGATAATACCATTGATCCATTCATATAGGAAGAGCTGGCTCTAGATCCGGAATCTTAATTAACATGAAGGATTGATTGCATTTGGATTTGCTTTTATTTTCTGTGATCTGCAAGTTCTGTACCCTAATAGCATAGATTAATACGAGAGATTCATCATCGAAATGGCAATTGTTACTTTAAGAAGATTTCAGAGATCCAATCCTTCAATTATAGAGTATCAATCATCGATTGCGTTTCTGATTTCTAAATAGCCATTTTCAACTCATTACAGTTGTAAATAAATTACAAGTATAATATGCCAAGCTCCACTCTGTACCACGAGCTCTCTCTCTTAAGAATTAACAACTAAAATCTCAACAAAATCTGTAGTTTCATCGATGGAGTCAAAATCATTTCAAACAGTAATCAAAGCAATAAACAGAAGTTACGAATCAAACAGCAAGTAAAAGAGACGTACATTGAGCTGTTGAGTATAACCTCTGCGAACGGTTTCGCTTTCATTACAAAGCTTATCGAAGAACAGAAACCTACGAAGTCCATAAATCCTGACGAATTGGGAGAGGCAAACGAAGGAAAGTGTGGCAATGGAGGTGAGAGATAACTGAACAAGGGTATCGTAAGGCCTGGCATGTCGATTATCACAATCGCTGCAAGCAAGGTAGAAATGGGAGAGGAAAGGTATAACAATGGCGAAGATGATGAAAACGAACCACGAGAGGCAAAAAGTGAAAGCGTTGGATTGATCAACACACATCCATCGGAGCCAAGATCGGAAGCTGTGGAGTTCGTCGTGAATGCAGGATATGGTGCGAGAGATGTCCTTCCGTTTTGCTATAAGAGGATCCATGGCCATGGGGTTGCCGAGGTTTGATGCTGGTTCGTTGCTTGAAGGAGTCAGACAGAGAGGCTTTTATATCGGGAATATTTTCAGAAATGACCCCTCAACTTTAAGACTCTTTCAAAATTACCTCTTAATGTTTTTGAAGTCTGATTCGTTCAGACATTTAAGTATTAAGAGCGTTTGTTTTATTTTTAAAATAAGAGCTTAAAAATGTACTCTGAAATTTTAAGTGGTAAATATATCTCTTGATACCTTTTAATCTTAATTCACCTTCTATCATATGGTTCATATTTTGAGGGCGGTAAGGGATTTGTTAGCAAACTTTTTTTATACTTTTGTAAAAAACTATTTATTTTTTATATTTTTGCACTAGTTTGACCGATTCAGACTTCAAACGTAAAAACAAACAATCTTACTGATCCAGATTTCAGACTTCAGGACCACATCTTATAAATCATAAGTGAAATCAGACTTCAGTTCAGCACCTCTTAAAAAACAAACGCCATCTAACTAATAAAATGATAAGAAAACAGTTAAATCACGTTAACGCAAGGGTGTGCGAGCGACATGGCCCGCAACCTCATGTCTCGTCTAAAGTCGTATGAATTGCATGCAATTTTACTCGTGATTTTAGTGTGACTCGACCATTTTCTTATTTGGTTATTGTTTTTGTATGAACCCGACTCTACTGTATATACCTATTTTATGTCAGAATCAGTTCAAATCATGAATTGATAATATAAAAAGTAAACTTTGATGTTTGTGAGATGGAAATTAGTAAATAAGAGTGCATTTTGCAATATATATATTGGAGATGCTCGTAAGATGCTGTCTTTTGATAAGTCCAATGTCGTATGATACATCTTGATTCTAAAGACGAGAACTCGAACCATCTATCCTATTCATTCTATTCTATGTATCTCTTGATTTTATTTTATGATTTTGTGTAGTTTTGAAAGAGCGAAAGATTTTTAGGTTAATTATCGGTTTATGAAATATCAATCAGTTCTAGTGATGGCCAAACAGGGCCGGGATCGGAAAACGACTGGCCCGGCCCGAGACCAGGAAGGACCGGTTATGGTTTTGGAGGTTTTCGAGGGACCGGCCCGGTCCGACCCGGTTTTTTTAAAAAGTAGTCTTTTCTTATTATTATTATTAAAACATAGTCGTTATATGACTGTTTTTTTGGGTCTATTTTATCATCTAAACTCTATATATACGTGTCATGGTTGAAGGATTTACATACCAACTTACAAAATGCAAAATAAAAACGTTCACTATTCTTTATTTTAATTATAATAAAACGCATTTTTGAAGTGTATTTGAATAACTCAATTACAAATTCAATAATAAAACGCATTTTTGAAGTGTATTTGAATGACTCAATTACAAATTCAATAACGTACTAAAAAATCTATCAATAAAAAAAATTAAAAAATATTCTTTTGGTCGGGACCGGCTAACCATAACCGGTTATAAGAATGCTTAACTGGACTTAGTATTTTCGACCAGGATCGGTTATGACCGGCACTGTTGAGGCCCGAGACCGGTAAGGACCAACCTGACCCGGCCTGGGACCGGTTTTTGACCATCACTAGTCAGTTCTATGAGATTTTTAGGGGCTGTTTAGCAGGCGCTGAATGGTTAAGAGAGGTCCAAGATACAAAATCATTCAGAGGGTTTTTGAACCATTAAGAGGCAGATTTTTTTTTTGTCAAACAAGATTAATCTCTTAACGATTTAGATATTGTCTTTTAATAGAACTATTAAAAGGTTAACAAACAACCTCCTAATCAGTTATATGAGATTCAAAATGTAAAAGTTGTATGTATGCAATAATATTTTGTCATGAACTACCTTAATCATTAGGGTACATGTTACATGGCAAAATCAAAGCTTTATATATATATATATATATATATATATATATATAAAAGTTAAGGAATAATATAAATACCAAATGTCCTTTTTGTCCTTTTCATATTTACATTTCTCAAGTGAAAAATGTACAAAAAAAAATTGTTAATAAAAATAACTATTTTATTTTATATAATATAATAAATTTATTTTGTAGAAGCTCAAATTTTTATTCCAATTGAAGGAATAAAAATTCATTTTTACTTTTAAAAATTACAATTTTAATATTTTTATTATTTAAAAAATGTGATTCATATTATTGTAAAATACAAGCCAAAACTTTGTTTTTATATTTAAAAGAAAATAAAATTATGAAACAACCACTAATTTAATTTTAGAGCTAAAAAGTATTCATAAGGGCAAATTATATGAAAAAATAACGTATTTTAACTTAATTCTTATTTTTTGTAACATACTTTAAAAACATTTATTTTGGTACATAAGATGTGAAATTTTAAACATTTAAGTATTCGGATAACCGGTTGAAGCATTAACCAGTTATTCTGTTGATGTGGTATTCAACTCCGTATTATTTGCTTACGTGGTTCATGACATGGATTTTTTTTTAATCTAAAATTAGTCTTTTTTTAAAATATAAAATCAGTATTTAACCAGTTACCCGAATACTTAAATATTTAAAACTTTACATCATAGGTAGTAAAATAGAAGTTTTAAAAGTACGTTACTCAAAATAAGAATTAAATTAAAGTACGTTACACTTTTATACAATTTGCTCTAAATTAAAATAATAATTACAGTATATAAATTCATATTAAAAATTAAAAGTAAGGTTTAGGTGTCATTTAAGGTGTTATGTTTATATTTAGCAAGTAACATGGCATGTGGACTACATAATTTGACAGCTTTGACGTGGACACGTGGCATCCATACTCCTATATTCTTTTCCATTTCATTTATTTTATTATTTTAATAACATCTCATAATTTATCTAAATTAAAAACAATAAAACCCTACAACTTTCTAAATTAATATCAATAAAGTTAAGGGCAAATTGAATGAAAAAGTAACGCACTTTAATTTGATTCATATTTTGTGTAATTTACTTTCAAAACTTTTATTTTAGTTATCATGCTGATATCGCGAATGATGTGGTATCCAACTCAGTATTATTTGCTGACGTGGTTAGTGACATGTATTTTTTTTAATCTAAAATTAGTAATAGTTTTGACCATCATAGGAGTAGATAGGAGATGATAATACATCACTGTAAATAACATCAAATGACCCATTTGAACTAATAGTAGATTGAGAGAATGGAAGTTTATGACTTTTATTGCAATCACATGCATTGCATTTTGAAGGAGAACTTGGAATACAAAGGTTAAACATATAACTAATTTTCTTGAGAAGAGAGAAGGACGGGTGTCCTAATCTGTGATGGCAGTATAAGTTTGTAGATAGAGAAGTGGAGTTGACGGTTGGGCGAATTGGATGCCATTCACATATTCTAGATTCAGTTGGACCTTGAAGTAGTGTAGCTCTGTTTGTATGACTTTCACAAAAAATGAGTTAGGTAAGAACGTGATCGAAGCATTATTATCATGACAAAATTGTGAGATGGAGATTATGTTTCTAGACACGGAAGAAACATGATGAACACTATTTAAGCGAAAAGAATGATGAGAGGGTGTGAGAAGAGATGCGAAACCAATGTTTGATACTGGAAGTTCGGAGCCATCGCCAATAACTAGTTCATCACTGCCAACATAAGGAGCATGTAGGGAAAGCGTCTCCAGATTGTTGGTAACATGGTGGGAGGCACGCTAGCAAGTAATCACCCAGAGGTCAAAATGGGGCACTCACAGTCTAGGTTCTAGGGTTGTGAAGTGGTTGTTGATACCCTTTGAACACAGGTTTATGAGAGGATGAAACAGGTGCTACTGCTTGAGGAAATTGTTGGCGAAAAATGAAGTATTGGGTGACATAATGTCCTTGCGGTTTACACCATTGACAACGACCTTGGTAGGGGCGGGGTTGCCTTGTTGAAGAGTGGGGGAGACCAAAGTGAGTGGTTGTTAGGTTCAGTAGTATTAGGGATGAATGATTGATCATTGAAGGCCACTGAGATAAGATGAAGAAGGCTTGTGTGATAGGAAGAACAAGATTAGAAGAATTGATCGATTAGAGCTCTGATACCATATAGAAATTGATGGAAAAGAACCCGTCTATTACAACATTGCTAGCAAGTACTTATACGTACAAGAAAATGAAAACAAATATCAAGGGATATGATATAGAAGCATAGATCAAAGGATGTGATATGGTGTATCACAATCTTCAATCTTTATCAATACAAAACCAAGATCGACTTTAGTTTTCTTGAAATCTAGGTTGAGAACTTTTTGTGTTTACTAACAGTCAGCCACTTGATTCATTCAGCAGATGGGATTGGGTGTTCAAAGATAACCAAAAATATTTCTATATGAATAAATAGATTACCACCACCAGATACATATTCAGATCATCTGGTTGAATGACTTTTTAACAACTGTCTTTTAAATCCATAACCTTCTAACAAGATTTAGCATGTCACTTACATACATCGGAATGCAAAAAAAAACGTGTAAGAATATTATGTTATTAATAAAAATCTAATCTGAGGTCAATGACATAATTGTTTTTTTAAGAAGAGTTTAGCATGGCTGTTAAGACAAAACTTTTTCTAAACCTCTAAAATTTCTATAAGAGCATAGATGTTAGAGATATTGTTATCACACGGTTATTTTGGAATGTACCGCTTGTGTTTGAAACGGTGTTAATAAAGCATCAACGGGCATTTCCAGATATATTACTCAAAAGAATTGGCACAATACGCCTGATCGATTGGAGTTGCTAAAATTCTGTCCATGTTGTTACAAACATACGATTCACGCGGAGATAAAGAAATAGATCGAACTGAGCACTGCCACCCTTATCTTACAAGGAAAGGGAAAAATGACATATATATATATATATATATATATATAACATATTTAACAATTAAATTCTAAATGTAATATAAAAAGACGAGTTTCACAAAATATGCAATGTTACAGTTATATTGGGTGCACCGGTGAATTTGGTATTTATGCATCGATGTGACGAGAATTTCTTGATTCACAAATCAACTTCTTCAGCAAAACAAAAAGCAAATCATTTAGAAACATAACTTGTGGTTAACCTTGACAACAAGAGTTAATAATATAGTGTGCGTGTGTGTGTATATATATATATATATATGAACGAAAGTTCATGTGTAAATGTGTTTCTCGTTGTGAATTGGAGAATAAAGTAGAGAGAGCGACATGTGTAATTATATTCATCGTGAATAATGAACTCATTTATTATGAATGATGAATGTGGATTTTTTTACACCATTCATAATGTATGGGACCATCTCATTTGTCCTTCAGTTCACAACAGAATGAACCAAACGAGTGAATGAAATTTGGTCAATGGAATTCAACATTCCGATTCCATCAGATTCCTCTAGAATCCGCGAACCAAACGCCACATTAGTTTTACAACTAAACCTGCCATACATATAGAGAGGAAGGGGGTGCATTATGAACCCAAAACTGTTTAGAAACCTGGAAACCGTCCATAGTGCGACAAGTGACAAATTCATTAAAAAATATGGACGTGTTATTCATCATAAATGTTGTAACATATTCATCACTAATGTTGTAACATATTCATCATTAATGTGTGATTTATGATGAATAACATGTTCATATTCATGATAAATATTCATTCAAATGAGGGATACATGATGTAGTATTAGACAGTTCCTAATAAATTTTGGTTTCCTAAGAGACTTACACTTACTATACATATATATATATATATATATATATATATATATATATATATATAGGTGGAGGTTCAAACCAGAACACCTCTATTTTACGAGAACACTCTATCACATGTGATAATACGCATGAGAGGACCTTGTGATATGCAGACGACGTGTTCTACGACTTAGGCCGCGCCAAAGGTTGTCTGCTTCTATGATTAGCATCGCATGTGATTGTCTTGATGGATTATAGTATCATATCAACAACCACCTTATCACATGTGATAATATTTGTGAGGGGGCTTAGTGGTGTAAGGGTGACTTGGCCCGCAACCAAGATTGCATCGAAAATCGCCTGCGTATCACATGTGTATCATATGTGATGGAATAATAGTATCACATGTGATTGTTTATAGTAAAAGGGTGTTCCTGCGTTCTCGTGAAATTATATACACATATATACATACATACATACATAGGGTTGGATTCACGTGAGACTAGCCTGTTTTCGTAAGATCCATAAAATCATTTTTTTATATTTGAAACTTCAAAACAAAATGCTATGAAGGTAAAAAAAAACTAAACCTTCACAACAAAAACACTATGAATGTTACTTTTATCAAACGGTTCAAAAAGTAAGAGATAACAAAAAATATCATTTATTTTCGATATCTTACCCAATAAAATGTCGGGTAAACGGAGATAATCAATGGTTAATTCATAATATTAAGAATAAACAAACCCCCCATTTTGCATCCTAATCTTCTCTGTGTTCATGTTTGTATAGATTTTGAGTTATCAAATGCGTTTTCAACCCTCAAATTCAGAGTCGAAGTGTTGTGCAATGATCATCCACCAAAAACCCCACCTCAAATTCATCCAACGGTGGCGGCATATTTAAATCGATCGATTGAAACGGTTTTGTGAAAGATGAACAACCAATTTCTCCGCCATCGCCTCCGTCAACAACCACCGATGAAGACGAATCACAGTCGCTACGACAATCATCTGGAAACACCGGCGGCGACCGAGGATGGTGTCTCCGGCGAGGTAAAACGAAATCCGACTTTACCGGCGGTCTAGATCCACTGTTAGACTCGAGAGTACTACTCAAACTGCTACACGTCGGATTTTGTGGCACAACCGTCTGGTAATCGGAGTATTGATTCTGACGGAAAGGATGAAGATCGTTAGCGTTGTGTTGACGGTATGACGTCATATTCGATGGAAAATTGGTCTTGGCTTTGTGTCCCCGGAGATTCCGAGCGGCGGCGTCGTAAGCGCGTGCGGCGTCCACGGCGGAGTTGAAAGTTCCGAGCCAAACTCTGGTTTTCTTCCATGGATCTCGAATCTCGGCGGCGAATCTACCCCAGGGTCTCTTTCTGACTCCTCTGAATCTAATATCGGGTTTGAGTTCAGATCCGTGGGCAGCGAGAAGAGATGGATGAGCCGGCGACGTGTTTACGGTGGCTTTTGGCATTTTCCGGCGAAGAAAATATGGATTCCGATGAGATGGAAGTTACTGGTTTTATTGTGTGGTGGTGGTATGTATGGATGTTTGAAAACACGTCTTCACTTCTTTCTTCCCTCTTTCTTTTTTTGTCATTTGTGATTTTATTTTTTAATTATGAAGGGTGTAAAGACTAAATTACCCTTTGAATTCATGTTCAAGTCAACACTGCATTGGTGAAGTCTCTTTCATTGCTTTTCTGTTGTTCCCTACCTTCTCCAGGTCCTTTGTATTCTCATTGGTCAACACCCTCTCACATATACATCTACTCATATATATATATATAGATAGATACAAAAACACTATAAAAGTAACCTTTACAGTGTTTTTGCTATAAAAATTTGACTTCTTTTTATTTTCACAATGTTTGATGTGAATTTTCAAGTATAAAAATGTTATCTCATATATTTCACGAAAACAGTTTTGTCTCATGTGAACCAAACCCTACATATACACATAGAGAAAATAGTTTATCTCACTCAACTTCACTTTTTAGTCATTTTATTAGATTCTCATTTTATCTAGAGTTTACACGCATACTATTTTTAGAATCACAAGGATTGTGGCATCGTGGTTGACGTCCTGACGAATATAGTGAAATATCCAATATACCCTTTAAAAAATAATCCTATTTTCATATTCAAAAAGAGAAAAATATATATTTACGCAAATTTGTGTAATGATCCCCATTTGCGTGATTTTTTTTTCTTATTTTAATCTGAAAATAGGCATTACGGAAATACGTAAGGCATTTACTTAAATTTTGGCTAAAAGAGGGATTCATTGCCAAAATTGGCTAAAAAGTGAATTTGATTGAAGAGTTTGACTATTTTGATCAATTTCCCATACATATACAGATAATGGAACTTCAAACGAGAATAATAACCACTTAAAAATAATTGAGTCCTCCTATGGCATGTGAGATAATACATCGTTCTCTCTACAAATACATACATTTTTACATGATCTTCTCAATATAGACCATGAATACGCATCATGAAAACATTACAGCCTAGGATCAGATGTATTACAATTCTACAATACGAAATAAAAATGCTCCAACAATTCTAGATCGTCACATACCAAACTAGAAACATAACATTAATCTATATCCATGACGGTTGTTGTATGTGTCGTTATATGTGTAAACAACGTTTGAATTTGAAAAATAAATCTAACGTCTGGACCACTTAAATGGTTGTTTCTCAACGTTTAACAACCTTAAGCCCTTAAAAACAATTTTGTTGTCTTTCTCAACCTAAAGACCTTAAAAACAATCTTAACCACCTGGGTTGTGGCGCACTGGTTAAGCCTCGATGGATAATTCATCTACTGTGGGTTCAAATCCTAGGCACCGTCAAAACCCCTGTGGCGATGAAAGTTCAACTACAATGACTCCAGCCTATTTTTAATCGTCCAAGGGATTAGTCAATAGCCTAGAAAGAAAAACAATCTACTTAGCCAAGTCTCTTTACATATCGCTTCGCTTAAAGGGGCTTCCACAAACAGTGACGAACCTACAGTTTAGACAATGGGACCGACCCCAGTAAACCTTTAATTTTGTTTTCTTTACTTTCCAAAGACGATTGTATCGTTTCGTCATCAATTTCATCATGTTTCTACAAACATTTGGTGGGAAATGTTTATGGTATTTTCATATGAATCATTATTAAATCGAACCGCATTTCAATATTATCGTTCTGCATATCCAGAATGTAGAAATTAACAAAGCAGATCCTCTTGATTTGGAGGAAATACAATTACCCTCTTCTCCTATTAACTCTTCAAAACTTTAACTAACATAAACCAGATAGTGTTTAAAAGAAATACGCGTTTAAATAGTATCCAACCGGATATAATTCATTCGACAAGTTCATCATATGGTTGTCTTGGTTACCTTAAGTAATTCTAGATACCGTATCATGCCAAGACTAAAACTTTTGTAGGTTAGCTCAACTGACAATAAGACTTAAGTGTTTAAGGATTCTTCTAAGAGGTTACGAGTTCGAGTCTTGCAAAGTTAGTGGAGATTTTTCTGACCGTTCTTCAAGGCCTCTAAGATTAGTTAAGTTGTGCACAAGCTGACCCAAAACAAACACAGTTAAAAAAATCTATATCAACATTGCTTTTATTTAAAAAACAAAATCTTAGTTAAATGAATTATAGAGAAATAAGTGTGTAACCGAAAGTTTGAAAAGGGTTATTAAAGAACAAAAAAAAGCAAGTGGGAAAATGAGAAGGCATGTGGACATAGAAGATTGGATTGCGGAGAGAAAAGGTCAAATAATTTCATTTTAAATGGTTTAGTAAAAATCATTAAAAATTTTCTTTTTAAATGATTAAGTTTCTAACAATCTGGTAAGCAAGATGTTTATCAACAACCCATTTTGATGATCGACAATGTTACACGATAAGGTAAATAAGGGTGATATCTCTTGCCGGTAATCGCTTACTCGATAAGTACTTGGTAAATGGCCCTTAGGTTTCAATTCGATTTGAGTGAGAGAAAGGAATGACCTAACAGGACATATAAGTGGAGGGAGGTTAAGGGAGAACCCAAAAAAATTAAAAAGTAAAGGAACAGCCTGATAACCATTCATTTGGACGGTATGTACATGTGTATATAAGTAATTAAAGTTGTTTCTTAGATTTTATGCTTGTGTGCATGTTAAGCACATGTACATACCGGATGAATTACTTACACATAACTTGTATGCCCATGTGCATACTCTGTAGATGAAAGGTTACCAAAGTGTTCCTCAGTTTTTCGTTTTTATGCGGCTTTCCCTTGAGCCTAACCCTATATATATAGACGAAGGATCGTGTGGGAATAAGAGTTAAGGTGAGAAAAATAAGAATGGATATGGACCCTTGATCACTTCTAATAATCCCAAACAACTCATGAATTGTGTTTTAGAAGAGAATTGATCTAGTGGTTCTCCTCAATTAAAATTTATCCAAAGGTGGAGATCCCTTCTTACCCTTCTCATGATAACTTTCATTTTCACCAAAACCCAATATATATACAAGGAAGGGTTCAACAGAAAACATCATCATTTTTCAAAAACGTAAGAACACTCTTTTATTATAATCAATCACATGTGATATTAAATCAAAGATGCGCATGACCTGCACACAACTAATCCCCTCACATGTCTTGTATGTGATAAGAGTATTCTCGATATGATATGATAAGGGTGTTCTCGTGTTTTTGTAAAATGGAGGTGTTACCATTTAAACCTCCACATATGCACACACACGTATATATATATCATATATATATATAGACTTGGGATCATATGAGAACATGTTTAAGTGAGACTGTAAGACTACAAAATAACACTTAACCCTCACAACAAAACACTGTAAAGTGCAGAAAAATATCGAACCTCACACAACAAAAAGCACTGTTATGTGTGTGTGCACGCATGCATGCATATGTCAAAACCTAAGGCTCCATGTGTTTTCCTTGGGTGTTCAAAACTAAAGTTTTAGAAAGTTGTACAGAACCATAAAACTTCAATTTCTTTCAAAAAACATGAAGCAAATGCTTTTTATAACATGCCGCTACAAGCGATATGTAAGCGAGCATCCGTTCCCACATTTATTCCACAAAACACAACAGAGAAGGTAAGCAAAAGAGTGTTGGAAACATGTGGGCATTCCTGGTTATATGCCCACTTGTTCCAAGATTTTGAAACAAGTCTCACTTACTTTTTCATCTTGTAGTTTAAGCCCAAGCCATCTTCACCAACCAAGAAGCAAGAGCTTCAACAAAGCCATCCTAATGTACAGTCCGTTTTTCGCTTGTCTAAAGTAGGCTGCCCTCGGATCCCCATCTACATCCACGGTTATCTGCAATGCATCACCACGACTAAATTTATGCCGGAATTAGAAAAATATGCATAACAGCAGCCAACAACCCGTCCCACATATACAAAGCTTGTGAAGACGCCCAAAAACTGTCATATAAGCTTATTGTAACACTTTTAGATAGGACCCACGAGCGTATGGTCCTATAAAGTTAGATAACACTTTGGTGTCCAATAAAACCGATTTTATTGTAGTGGTATGGAGCGTCACAAGCAGTTCTTACCTCATCTAGCCTTGGGAGAGGATGCATGACGACAGCATGTTTCTGCATGACATCCAAGATTTCTCGATCCACAATGTACTTCCCGCAAGCTTCCTCATACAGATCAGTTCTCTCTCCAAAACGTTCTTTTTGGATGCGAGTCTGGTACACCACATCGCATTTGGATGCCACCTCTTTTAGATCTGCACTTTCTTCCCATTCAACTCCCTTCGATGTTAAGTACTCTTTAATGTCCTCCTAACCCATGTAATACAACAAAAATCAAATTCAAATCTTCTCCTTCATCATGGATGTTGCTATATGCACCCCTGTTTATGTCAGAATCATGCCAAAGCATACATTAAAAATGTAAAAAGTAAGTATTTTGATTTTTGATGTGTATTTGGAGAAATTAGTAGATTGGGGTGTATTGAGCAATATATAACAAGGGTGTATCTAGCCTACCCCTTCATCTAATCAATGACCTAAATTGGAATGGTGTGGGCTAAAATGCACCCCTATATATTGTAAAATGCACCCATATCTACCAATTTCCTCCTATCACGCATCAGCGTTAAGACTTACTTTTTACATTCTCAAAGCATGACTTCACCTGATTTTGACAATAAAAAAGGGGTGATGCTATATGCACTCCTTATGTGTCACAATGAAGTCAATTCATGCATTGGAAATATAAAAATTAGGTTATGATATTGACGTGTTTGAGGAGGAAATTTCTAGGTAGGAGTGCATTTAGCTCACCCCTAAAAGGGGGTGAACTAAATACACCCTTATACATTGCTAAATGCATCCTATCTACTAATTTGCTCCTAAAAACACATGAACATCAAGACATTTTTTACATTCCCATGCATGATTTGACCGAATTCTAACATTAAAGGGGTGCATATACCATTACCCAATTGGAATATACTACAGTCGTGATGTTAATCATAATACCTTCATCTTGACAACCTCTGGTGACACAAAGTAGACCTTCACATCATTATATTTGGCTAAAAGATATGCAAGAGACCGTACAGTTCGGCCGTTAGCAAGATCCCCAACAAGTCCAACTTTAATGCCATCCAACTTTCCTATCTCTCTCTCAATAGTGTATACATCGAGAAGAGCCTGTTGTATTTACAACGGAACAGAACTGAACAGAGTAACTCCAAAAGCACAAATTAAATAATAAAAATTTGATCTTGAAGAAGGAAGATGCCATATCTAGGGATTAATCAAAAGAAAAGAAAAAAAATGTATAAATAGCTACTAATATGAGATTTTGAGGATTCCATGAAGAAAAACAACTGTAGAAAGAGAAATATTTTCAACTCTAGACAGTTGGGCAACTAATGCCCATCATGAACCATAAAAGGAAAAGAAAAGAGATTTTTAGGGCCTGTTTGGTTTGCGGGATTTCATGGGATTTAGAATTGGACCCCATCCAATCATGCCTTTGGTTTAAAGGTAAGTCCGGAACTGAAATCCCACAAACATGGGATTTAGAAATCCCACAGGGTAGTTGGTATTTTGCTTGATTTCATACGGTTTGATTGTAGAAATGTTTTAAAACATGTTAAAAACACTCGTTTTGTAATAATCAATTAATCAATTAATAATCATGTTAAGTAATAATCAATTAATAAAGGTATTTTAATTACATTTGTAATTTTCCATAAATTGTTTTTATAGAGAATGGAATTCAATTCCATTCAAATCCCACAAACCAAACACACCAAAGATTCCAAATCCTCCCAATTCCAAATCCTTCCACAAAATTCAAATCCCTCGAAAAAATTCCATCAAACCAAACAGTCCCGAAGTATCCTTGAAAATTTGAGGTTCATATCACTATATACACTAAATAAAACTGGAAGACCTAAATAAGGGATACCAACACTGATCCTTAGAAGCAACTTTCTTTAAGTTGCAGATGATTTGAAGATAAAGAGGGTATACCTGAGTAGGATGCTCCCCTGGACCATCCCCAGCATTAATAATGGGAATGTTAGCTGTCATGGCTGCTCTTCTAGCAGCACCACTTTCAAAGTGCCTCATCACAATTATGTCTGTGTACCCTTCCACCGTTCTAATTGTATCTGCAAAACAAGGTTGAATCAGAATGAATGACAAAAGAAAAAAAAAAGAACCTCAAAGAACACAAGCTTCAACCTGAAACTACCTTCAAGTGTCTCTCCTTTTGCAGCAGAAGAGAACTCTCGTGCATTTTCTGTTGTCAAAACTTCCCCACCCAACCGCTTCATTGCTGACTCAAATGAAAGCCTAGTCCTAGTTGAAGGCTCGTAAAAGAGTGTAGCCATTAGATAACCATTCAAAAGCTGGCTTCCACGTGACTTCTTCTCGATTATTTCCATTTCACGGGCCACTTCAAAAATCGCGCTCAGAATATCTCTATCAAATTGTTGTGCTTCAATCACATCATGAAGTTGAAATTTTTCTCCCTTTAAAAAGGTACGGTTACTTGCCACCTCTACCGCCCTACATTGGATTATATCCTTCTGGGACACACTCGAGTGTGCCAGGTTAGATGATACGCAACTCCTCTTGAAACAAAGTAGATGCTTATAGAAGAAATTTGGCTTATTGTACATTGAATCACGGAAGATCGTGCTTTGTTCAGGAGCTAACGTGGTGCCATGGGAGGCACGCATAGAAAACATAGACGAAGGCATTGCCAATAGATGTCACCTGAATAATTTTTTTAACAAAATTAGCGAACGTTCAAATGTTCTTATCTTTTATTTCCTTATAAACAGTAAACTTATACCACCGCAATGCATGATATTACATAAATCATATGTATAAACTTAACAATCACTCGGGAAATCACAATCGTACCATTTAGTTCTCAATCTGTATGATTCAAATTTAGAAATACTCCTCCATTCCAAGCTTTCCTAATTTTATAACTAGTTTTTCCGTTTGTGGGAAGAATTATGGCATAAACTAAAAGGCAGACATAAAATTTTGATCCAATCAATACGCATTTAAACATATCGATTTAGAAGAGGAAATTAAATCAATTAACCCTAACTAACACTAATTTAAGAACAGACACTCATAACATCCAAATTCAAAGCATATATTCCATGTCGAAGCTTGAATTACCAACGAAAGTAGTATAACAATGATTCAGACAACAGAGATGTGGTATAAATCAGTGGATTGATTCTATGGCATCTCATGCACTGCAGGGAGACATTCCAATTGATAATACGATACATCTATAGCCTAAATTATAAGAAAAATGTGGGAAATAAATCAGATGTACGTTGAAATTTCAAAATTCAAATGAATAAATGGTAGAGTGAAGAAGGAGAAACCACCTGCAACCGGAGAAGTCCGCCGGAAAGCTTAAACGACGGCGAGTTTAGAGGAAGAGATGATGATATATGATCAATATTTTAATTGAAAGCGTAGAGAGCATTCAGGATTGAATGATGAATCGCTGTAGGTTTTGGCGGAAAAACAAAATGACGATGTTTTCCACCCACCTTACCAACAAAGAATATTTAAACCACGGCCACCATTTGTAAGTCGTAAGTTGTAAGTTGCAACCCTAACAATTGGGCTTGGGCTTGGGCTTGGCCATACAAGTAGTGATGGGCCAAACCGGCCTGGCCCAGGACCGTCGGAACACCGGAACCGGTTATGGTTTTGGATGGTTTCGAGGGACCGGCCTGACCGGGACCAGGACCGGTTTTTAAAAAAGTAGCCGTTTTTTTAAGTATAGTCGTTATATGACCGTTTTTGGTCTTTTTTGCCTTCTAAATCCTATATATAGGTGTCATGGTTAAAACTACAAAACATAAAAAACGTTTACAGTTCTCAGTTTTAATTATAACAAAAACGCATTTTTAAAGTGTATTTGAGTGACCCAATTATAAGTTTGATAATGTATTAAAAAAATCAGTCATTAAAAAAAATTAAAAACATTTTTTTGGTCCGGACCGGCTAACCATAACCGGTTATAGTAATGCTTGATTGGGCTTTGTATTTTCGAACGGGACCGGTTATGACCGGCACTGTTGAGACCCGAGTCCGGTAAGGCCCGGACCGGCACGGGACCGGTTTTTGGCCATCACTACATACAAGTGTATACCAACCCCCATTTTAGTCTTTTTGGGTGTAAATACCAGATTACCAATGTCTTAAATGGTGTCAGACATAGTGTGGTGGCGACTAGCGAGTAGGGAGGTAAACGAGCCGAACCAAGTTGAATGGTAGGTTATTCAAATTCGGTTTAAAAAAAAAATACTTGACTCGAACTCGAATAGTTTTTTCAATGTAGGGCTCGAGCTCGATTATTTTTGAGTTATCGAGCTCGATGCTCGTTTATTGGCTCGAATTCATGATCTTAACCCGTGCATTAGGTTGAAGTTGATATTTTTTATATTTTTATTGTGTGAATATGAACATATGAGCATGTTCGGTTCGAAAAAGTGTATGCTCAAATGACTCGCCTTGGATTGACTCGACTCGGAAAATTTAATCAAGTTTTCGAACGAGTTGAGTCGAACACTGTTGTTATGAAGTTGGGCTCGTTGAGTTAAATGAGTTTTATTTTGTGTTAGAGATTGACTCGAGCTCAAGACAAACGAGCTTGAGCTCGAGTAGCTCGTTAAAAGCTCGACTTGTTTACACTATAGTGGCGAGGTCAAACTTCAAGCCTTAAGAGTAACGTTTCCGATTTTATCCTCATCCCTCTCTATTTCTGTCGCCTTCCTCACATCATCTGGTCATTGTCTTCCCTCAATTGCTCTGCCTACAGTAATCGATTTCACCTTCTGTTGATTTCATCTCTTGTTGTTGTCAATTTCAGGTACGATTGTCAAAGACTTTCCAGCCTAGTGGTAAAGGCTTGGGCATGGCATAGTCATGAACCCGAGTTCGAGCCCTGGGAGGGGAGTGTTGGCATCATTTAAGTGGGGCCATGTTTAGCCTCCAAATTTGTCGGGGATTAGTCGGGCTTTGGCCCGGACACCTTTACAAAAAAAAAAAAAAAATTCAGGTACGATTTCATCCCTTGTTGCTGTCGATTTGATACGCGGACGAGACTTAGGAAGACCGGATGTGATTGAACTGGACAGACGAAAGTGAGATAGGCAGTCCAAAGTTTTGTAGAAGGTTTAGGGTTTTAATATTATATGAATAATATATCAATCTTGTTCAATATCCTGATTTTTGTTTCAATTATTTTGGTGAGATAGAAAAAAGAACGCATTTCTTTGCCCACTCAAGACATTATGTTGTTTTAGGGGTTGTTTACCCAAATGTTTACCCGGTAAGTGCTTACCAACTCAACACTATAATTTATTTTGATACGTAAGATTTTAATACATCAAAACATATCGAATGCAACAATTTACCGGGTAAGCGCTTACCTGGATAAGAGTCGTCATCTCACTTATCGAGCAAGACTCTCCATTTTTTCCCATCGCTCTTACCCGATAAGATTTTTGGCCCTTGTCATATTCATCCAATGGGAAAATTTATCCGGTAAACACTTACCAAGTAAATGTTTAGTAAACAACCCCTTAATGTCACTCCAAACATGAGATACAAATTTTTGTATTGTCCAATCCCGCATACCGTACATCCCCTTAAACTAAACTAGGATCTTATCTTGTAGCCACCATAGCAACCCCAGCCAGTGGCCGGTAAGCATTTGGGTTGTGACACACCGGTTAAAGCTGAAAAGGATGTACTGAAGATCCCATCTTCTTTAGGTTCAGATACAGGTACCGGCATAACCTTAGTGACCATGGACCTATGATGACCCCAGACCGTTGTAATCACCCAAAGAGATCAGTCAGTGCACATAAACGACCAGTAGTCATCTGGGGGATTAGTCGGTGCACATACACTGCCTGAGATACCCATGGTTACTCAAAAAAACACAATGGCAGGCTCAAAGAGAGTTGGCAAACAAAAACAAGAATCAAACTTAGAAGATCATAACTTCTCACAAACACCAATATCAATACCAAATCCATTTACAAGAAACAAACCAGCAATTTCATCAAACATCCATTAGCTATAGCTCATAGAGCAGCTAGCACACACTGAAAATCTATACAATCAAACCACCACACACAGGAATTTTGCAAATACTACAGCAATCCCATGTTTTTGCTTTATTTAGCACACCCAAATCCAATATATATATATATATATATATATATATATATATATAATTATATGCTCTTGATTATGATAATGATACCAACCTAGTATTGAACTAGGCATTCTTGCTTACCAGGAACCACGGCTGCATCTGCATTGGGTCCGTTGTTCACACCACCAACTTGGTCGATATCTTGATGGTCGTCAGCCACCAACTTCTTCTCGTTAACGCCACAGGAAATGGCGTCGAATATAATTGTTATCACTTCATGAAACCTTTCTTCAGACAAAGAAACCTCTGCAAGAAGCCTCCAAGCTTTTTCCTCCGATGCCCATTCGTAATCCTCCTTCCTTTTCAACACCATATGCCCACTGATTTCCCACACGGCTGGATTCACCTGTGTATCTAGAACCTCGGGACTCACTTCTCCAAGAGCCTGCTTTTCCGCATAACACTGTTTCCATTTACACGTTAACATCACATTAAAACCAAACCAAACAAACCCAATATGTCCCACCTAGAGTGCCACAAGGGTTGTGGCGTAGTGGTTGAGGCCCGGGGGAGGTGGTGGAATATTCCATCTGCCATTGGTTCAATTCCAAGCGTCCACAACAATTGTGGCCACTGAGTTTATCAGGGCTGATGTCTTACAATCACAATTTGCCAAGATTAGTCTAGGAATAGCCTGGGACACCCTTCCCAAAAAAATGTCCCACCTACAAGTGGGGTTTAGGAGGGTGAGATGTACCCAGATTCTGGTTGTGTTTTTTATCTGTTTGAAATGCTAACCAACCGGAACTAGAGGCGGACCTAGATTTTTTTCAATTTATGACATCATTGGACTATAAAAAACAAAGCTACGGATATTTTTTTTCCAAATCCTCATTGGTCTGTTGGTTAGTTCCTTGCTTTTTATATGTGAGGTCCTCTGTTTGAGTCTTTTATCCCAAAAAATTTCAAAAACATAATAAACCTGAAACTAAAAGCTAAGAATTGAGAAAAATGAAAATGATACGAATGGGATTCGAACCCGCATCTGGAAGGGGATAAAAGACCTTGCAAACCAACACTATCAAAAGAAACTTGTGTTATTATTGTAGTTTCAAGGAATATACGGTTGCACCCAACAAGATAATACGGTGGCACCTTTCACGATCCTAGTTTTTTTACACTATGTTGGAGGAACGAAGTGGTGGCCCGTGCCACCGTATGGACCATAGTGGGCCCGCCCCTGACTGGAACTAAAATTTTTACCTGAGGAAGGACAAAGATGCATCTCCCGGAATCTGAAATTAGCACATTGTAAGGTATATTGTTGTTTTGAAGGCATATGCAGGAGTCAGCGACAACATTGGATAAATCTTCAAGAGAATTTCCACCCTCAAACACAAGACCTTTAACAGGATAGTTGAAAATCTCAGAAATCAGAACCCCACCATTGAACTCACTGATCTTTCTAGTGGGAGCTTTCTCAATTGGAAATGGCACAGCCAAGTAGTAAGCCTGAAGCAAGATGTCAAAATATAGATATATCTAATCATGTTACAAAACCTGCAAAGCTATGGTTTCCTAGAACTTGATACATAAAGTTCATATCAATAACCATTACCACCTCATTTACAAGCAAAACTCTAATCTTTTTCTAAATAACACGTCCAAATTCATCATGAATGTGTGATTCATGATAAATAACACGTCCAAATTCATCATGAATGTGTGATTCATGATGAATATCCATCATGAATGTGTGATTCATGATGAATATCCATCCTGAATTTGTTATTCATGATGAATATTCATGTTCCTGGATTCCTAACGGAACTTTCCTATATATATATATATATATATATATATTCATATATATAGAGAGAGAGTCGGGTTCATACAAGAACAACAACCAAATAAGAGAATAAGAAAACGGTCGAATCACATGTGATTCTACACTAAAATCATGTGTAAAATCACATGTGATTCATGCGACTTTGGCGGTTGCGGCCCACGTCGCCGGCACACCTTTATGTTAACTGTTAGTGTAAAATCACATGTTATTTTGCAAGTGATTTGGCCGTTTTCATGTTCTTTTATTTAGTTATTGTTCTTGTTTGAGCCTCTCTCTCTCTCTATATATATATATAGCACACTAATGTGGCTGACAACATTATTGAATTTCAAGAAGTAACTTATATCATGTTGAATCATACATGCTGCTTCTTCAAATATCTAATTTGGTTTTTTCTTTCTAAAAGCAAATTTCAGAAAAATCCCATTATAATACAAGACAGGAAGATACCGACCTGGAAGTGAAGATGATTGATAGTAGCAAATGCACCCAAGCTATTGTAACCTAGACGAAAGTGTGGACTTGCAGCCTCACGTGCCATATACAGTGCAAGCAATAAGCTTTCATGGTCAATCCTTTGAGGTAAACGTTCAAGTATTCGAGGAATCAGAAGTACGTGCCCGTATTCAATCGGACTAACCTATTGGTTTCAAATACAAAACAATTAACAGATTGTTTATGATAAAGATTTTCATTTGTGTAAGGAACGGACAATTAAACAATCAAGAAAACATACATTAATGGCAACAACACTTGGGGATTTGCCAAGATCAACAGAAGCATTTGGATGGAAACTGACTTCATTATCTTCACTTGCTTCAAACTGAAAGAGCACCTCCTCCTGTCCAACTTTGGTAAAGTTGAACTTGTTCTCATCAAAGGGCTGCAGCACCTTATCAACTTGGAACTCAGTGGGACGCTTCTTCAGGTGGCGACCCTCGTTCAGCTGAGCAACAAAGCCATGTTCACCTGGAATCACCTGTAAAATATCATAAAATAGTATAATTAAGAGACAATTAGAATTACATTTTCAGTTTGTTTTAAAAGATTCATGAAATAGCAAGAAACTGATGAGTACCTTAGTTGCACAGGCAGTAACATCATAACGAAAAAGTCCCCTTTCCATGCGATCCTCCCACTGCAATTTATATACAACAATTTTGTTAGCAGCCTAATGGGACTGGCAGCTTATTCAGTCACTATACAAGTATACATGACTGTTCTGTTTGGTAGTAGCTTAATGATATAGAAAGTAGCTTGTTCATTAAGCTTCCAGGGGAAGCTTTATTTATGAATCCAAGTTTTTTCCTAACCTGCCCCTCCCAATTGAAAAACACACTACTTCCATCTATGAATCACACACTCCCCAACAAAAGCCTTCCCAATCTATACAAGAACAGCTTACCTTCCCAATCTATACAAGAACAGCTCTGTCCATACAGAACTTTGAGCTTGTTTGTTAGCAGCTTAATGAGCTTAATGGGACTCGCAGCTTATCCGGTCAGCTACATATTACTGTTTGGTAGAGGCTTAATTATATAGAAGGTGGTTTATTCAGTAAGCTTTCTGGGGGAGCTTTATGCAGAGAGCCAAGTTTTTCCTAAACCTTCCTTCCAAATTAAAAACAAGTTTATTCCTTCTATGGGAAAACCCTCCTAAACAAAAACCTTTCTCAGACTATACAGACAGATTAATGCACATAGACATCTTTAACGGAAAACCAACCAAACAGCCCTGGAGAACCAATCAAACAACCCCTTAGCCAAAACCAATCATTAAAACCCCAAAAAACACAAATTTGAGTTTTCAATACTACCTCTCCTAGAAGAAGGGAGTCCAAGAAGGAAAAAGGGAACTCGATTTTGTCGCATGAATCAACCTTCTTGTTGGATTTTGGAAAAGCATACAAAGGTAGCTTAGCCCCTGTATCGAACCCCAAGATATTGAAAACTAATCATGTCAGTAAACAAAACAGGTATATTTAGAAGCTCAATTCTGCAAATAGAAACAATTATTTCGAAAAAGGGTAATTAAAACGGACGCAATTGAAAAAATACCTGTTATGCAACAGTTTCTCAGGCAATTACGGCCGCAACCACGGGTTGCACCGCCATCCTCAGCCTCCTCTTTCTGGTAATTGGAAAGAATAGTAGGAACCCTCTTGATCCTCAACATCTTCTTGGATTAATTGATTGATTTAAGTAGACAACAGCGATCACGAAAGCAAATCTTCACAATTTTATATGATAATAATAGATATATATACTTAGAACCCTAGGCCTAAACCTAACCTAATCTACGAGAAGGACGAAGAAGGCTGAACCGCCGCCGGCGAGAAATAGGAGGTCTGAAGGACTACCGCCTTCGGACGGCAAAGCGCCACGTCCACCGTGCGTCGAAGGGTTGCTCTCAATCGTTATTGCACCCTTCCGGCGTACTGATCGGACATGTACGAGGGGCCGCGTTGCTCCGTGTATAGCCGTGATGTCTGCAACTTGTCGTTCCAGGGTTTTACCCCAACCCTTTTTTGTTGTTCTTCTTCTTCTTCTCTCTCACAAACGCAAAGCAAAAACTCTGTTGGAAGGAATTTCCGATTGTGGAATTGGGTAGGGCGATCGGCAACAATGGAGGTCAGGCTGATTTGTTTGAACGAGATTGAAAAGATGATCAGATGGTAGAAATGAGAGGATGAGAGTTGTTGAATTATATAGGTGGGGATAAGACCAACGATTTCTATAGTGAAAATAATTAAAATAGCTATTGGTGTTTTCTATTAAATGGTTTGGTATATAATGATTAAGTTGCAATTGTTTTTTTGTAGTTGTTAAATGGTTTGGTGCAAAAAGATTAAGTGGTCAGAACGATTAAGAGGCTTTCATGATATAGTGTAAAATGAAATATAATTATTTGGTAATTATTTACAACGGAATTAGGACGTTGAATGGTTAAGAGAGGTCCATGATACAAAATCATTCAGAGGGTTTTAAAACCATTAAGAGGCATACTATTTTTTTGCCAAACAAGATTCACCTCTTAACAATTCAAATGTTGCTTTTTAATGAAACTATTAAGAGGTAAACAAACAACCCCTAAACCATTTAGTAGACCATACTAGAGCAGTACTTCATGCATACAAGATGGTTTTTAAAAGATTTTATTAAATGTTTTATAATATAGTATAGATTTACTTTTGGGAAATTGACCAAAATAGTTAATTTCTTCAATCAAATTCACTTTTTAGTCATTTTTCAATTGAATTCTTATCTGTGTAAACTCGATTTACAGATTAACAAAAAAAGAAAAACAAATATTCATGCGAATTTGTGTAATTTGAGTAAAGTATTTACATAAGGATCTTTATTTGTGTAAATAATTTGAGTAAGGGGGTCGTTTACCAAATGTTTATCCGGGTAAATGCTTATCAAGTCAGTTACCTTACCGGATGAATATGGTAAGGACCAAGAATCTTACCCGGTAAGAACGAGACAATGACCAAGAGTCTTACCCGGTAAGTGAAGACGAAGACTCTTACTAAGCGCTTACCGGGTAAATTGTTGCATACGATGTCATTTTGGTGGATTAAAATCTTACCCGGTAAGTGAATAGTAATGTTAAATTTTACCGGTAAGCACTTATCTGGTAAGTGTTTTGTAAACGACCCCTAAATAAATTTTTTTAAACTCGGGTAAGCCCTTACTCGTGTAAGAATAACTAACATGTTTAATTAAGCACATAAGTAATTTAACCCGTATCAAACTAGTAATCTCTGAATTACACTTCTTTCCTTTTTTTTATCCCGAAACGATGAATTCAGCTCAAATAAATATTGAATACCTGAGTAGGATTTTTCTGAAATGATGAAATAATTGTAGACGTAATTTCATCTGAAACATACTCAGACAGTTTTCAAATTTTTGGTTATATATGATTACAGTGTAACTGATTTAGTAAAAATTCAAAATATGTTTACTTTAACTCTGACATACTCATTAGAGCTGTAACATCCATGTACATTTTTATATTAATCGGTATATTTAACCCGTTATGCAAGCCGACTAATCTCAGGGCTACCACCTGATTTGCGGGTAGCCCGAAGTCATCACAGTTGAACATTCGTGACCACAAGTGGATTTTTATTCCTACTTGGATTTGAACCTGGGACCTTCAGATACTTTTAACCTTAGTAGTCTAAGCTCAAACCAATCAGACGCCACATTGTGGTTGACATCCATATCCTTTGAGATCAAGAAAACAAAGGTTAAAATTGTCTAGACGAGGGATACCATTTATATCAGCGTTGGGTCCGAACGAGAAATACCATTTACGCCCCTAACAGAGGAGTGTGAAATTTTCACATCACTGCGTTTCCGACAGGGATCAGAATGGTATTTTTCGTTCCCGATCCTCAAACCTGGAGTATCTAGAAGCTTAGAAAAAACCAAAGGTGGGCCAGGGCAAACACCATCCCTAAGTACTTGGAAAATGCATCTAATTAATTTTATTAATATTAATAAATTCATAAAATTGACTATGATTAGCATCTTTTATTTTTAATACTAGTCATTACAAAACATGTCACAATCAATTGATTATTTAGTTTTTGAGACTCTAATAATCAATTTCAGAAAACATGCCCACACAATCCTAATTTTCAAAGGAAAATTTGAGTTTCTATGCTTATTGGGGGCAGGGACAGACCTATAGTGGTGCATACGGTGGCACGTGTCACCGTGTTATTCCTCCATTGAAGGGTAAAAAGTTTTAGTTTCGTGAAAGATGCAATCGTATTTATTTTGTTATGTGTCACCGCATGTATTTTGAAATTACAATGAGAACAAGATTTATTTGGTATGGTTGGTTTGTAAGACTTTTATTCCACCCCAGATCAAAGTTCGAATCCTGTTAGTATCATTTTTTAGTCAAATAGTGCCACCTCTTGGGGGGGAAAATCGTATATTTGTTTCTTATAGTCAAACGGTGTCATCATTTGAAATTTTTTTCCCTAAATTTTTTTTGCTTATAGTCAAATGGTGTCACCGTTTGAAAAAGAAATTGGATTCGACCCTGATTGAGAAACATATAGATCCTAAATCTCTCATGTTGTCCTCTTTCAAAAATATGTTAAATTGTTTATTTTCTTCCCAAAATACCCTCATTTGTTTTCCTAACTACCCACCTCGTGGCACCAAACGGACCCGAGTCGATACAGTTGGGGAAAGGCTTGCCGCAACAAGATGGAATAGGAAGACCGTGGATGTGAGGAATGTGAATGCTGACGTCACATGGTTTATAAGCCTCTCGTTGGGTTCGATGATGACGTAAGTTTCCCATTAACCATGTGTTAGTATGTTTTTAAGACGTATACCTGCTTGTGTTTATCCAAATATGGCATATTAAAGTCATGTTGTTGATGCTTCGTGAGCGTTTTCACATTTTCCCACATGTATATTGGCAAAACGCCAACGTGTTCAATTTCGGTTCGTATACAAACATACTTGGCCGAGTCAACGTTTCAACCGAACATGTATCGAGAAATTCATTTTCACCAGACGTTTGAACACTCGAGAACATTGAATCTTATAATTCGGGACAAATACATCTCTATGATTTTGGAAAACACGTTGTCGCTATGCATGGTTTCGTTCATTTGTTCACAAAACCATTTCTGGACGATGAAACGTATAATTTCACAAGTATAGTAATTGGAAAGCTTCATGCTTTATTGGTCTTATATTTGAAGCTTTCAACGTAATTTCTAGTACATGTGCACGTATCACATGACCGCACACTTTAAATCCGTGTCTGGATGCTCGACCAGCTTCTAGCACAAAAGTCAGTATTTGTGTCCAACTTCATCTGCCTCAAATGTACAAATATACAGTTAACTTGAAGTCTTGAAATATAAACCTCCATTATACCCCACACATACGTTACTGCTTTTCTGTGTGCATCTTAATGCCGTTCCGTAACTCATATCAACCCCAAAAATAGTCTCTTCCATGACATATTCATTCTTGATTAGATGACCAACTACCCGTGGTGACGACCAACTGTCCAGAGGGGTATTTTAGGGAAAAATGAAAAGTCAAGTATATTTTTCAGAGATGATAAAATGTGAGCATATTTGGGATTATAGGCCCTCAATTGAGCACGAGATCTCAAATTTCCCTTTCGAAATGAAATAATTATCAGCCCTCATAAAAGACGAAATGGTTAGATAAACGGTCACTTTAACCCTTTTTTCTTATTTCTTTCCTAACAACTATGACATTTAGCACATATGAACCTGTAGTGTTTATAACACGTAATAGAATTTAAAATTGTTTTTGCTTATTAGTTTTTGCACATATACTACTTATACTAGAAGGGTACCCGTGCAATGCAGTTAGATACATCTCAATTTTAATGTTTCGCTTTATTCAGTCCCCTGTCGATGTTATGATACGGTTTCATGTGGTTTTGAGAAAAACGATAATGTTTTTGTTTTTGAATAAAATATAAATTTGAAGATACCTTAGAATTTTTAAAAAAATACATCGATATTAGTATCAAATCAACTATTTAAAAGTTCTTGTTTTGTTGTGTAATTTCTTTAATTCAATTTTTTTAATTATAATTCAATTGAAGTTTAATAACGAAGTAATTTATTTTTGATTTAATAATATAATTTTTTTATAAAGATAATGATTAAACATTCTGTTAGAACACAATGATTATCCTAATTACATTTTAGATTTTTTATATTTAAAATAAATGTTTATCCGGTATTTAATTATGTTTATCTGCAGTTAGTTACACGAATTCAAGCAAGGACTTTAATAAGTTGTACTTATGCATTATTTACTTGTAATCTTGAATTTTAAGTAATATGCATTAATAAACAATACTTTATGTATAAAAAATGGTTTTTAAGAGTTTTTGTCAAATGCTTTATAATACAGTATAGATTAACCCAGTTGTTAAAAAATAATGCATCCAAAAAGATGGGTGAATAGATGTACATGTTTAATTTGATTGTTTAAATAAAGGGTAAATTGCATGAAAAAGTACCGTACTTTAACTTGATTCATATTTTGGTAACGTACAATTTTATTTCTGAATGCTTTATTTTATTAGAATAAAGAGAGTTAAAATACATTGGTTGTAGAAAAATGAATATATAAGTTTGAATTCGATATAAAGTGTTAAAAGGTATCACAATAATTATGGTACAATTTTATTTTTGAATGTTTTATTATGTTATAATGAAAAATCCAGTAAAATTGTGACATGGAACGAGGCTACAGTAGAAAATTATCAAATTATGTTTTAGTTAAAAAAATGGGAAATTATCATTTTTTTTTCCTTCTATGAATATCCCGAGTCCTCAAAAAATGTAATAGAAGATAAATAATTAACTGTTTACAAAAATAATCTGTAATCTTCAAAATGAAAATAACAGAATTACCAATCTGAGATATCTAGATCGACTTCAAAGTCCATACTGTGTGGAAAATTGAGGGAGTAATTCAAAATGAAAACATACCATTTCCACGTTTTGTATATCCAGTCTCATGAAGATATGGGAGCATCTAATTAGTTTTCTCGGAGCTTCAGAGATGAATGAAACACACCAGCAACTGATTTTGCCATAGATTTTTCTTGTTCTTCCTTATATGGTTTCTCTAACCT